TCCATTTCTCCACATCCTCTCCAGCATCTATAGTCTCCTGATTTGTTCATTTTAGCCACTCTGACTGGCGTGAGGTGATATCTGAGTGTGGTTTTGATTTGTATTTCCCTGATGAGGAGCGACGCTGAGCATCTTTTCATGTGCCTGTTGGCCATCTGGATGTCTTCTTTAGAGAAGTGTCTATTCATGTTTTCTGCTCATTTCTTCACTGGATTATTTGTTTTTCGGGTAACCACAAACTTTTAAACATTGATCTTTTTGTTGACCAAGGTTACAATTACCCTACCTTTGAGTTAACAAATTAAGAACAATTTTTACTCAAGACTCCAAAAGAACCATTTATGATATGAGGAATCTGGCTTTTGGCAGGAGGTATTTGTTCTTGTTTTATTCTCAAAACCATACATCCCGGTACTGGATATTTTTGTGCTATAAATAATATGTGTATGTTTGACTTCAGAATAGCTTAAGAATACACAAAATTATTTTAGCTTTTTCTGGGTGAGATGGTGCTGTTCTTTACTTATTCAAGAAGATCAGTTAATCAATAATCATGTTCTTACCTTAACGCATTGTCTCCTACTCCAAGACACCCACGAAGACTTAACTTTCGTAAAAAGCCCCCACATCGTTTTGAAATATTCTCCACTACCCGGCCCTGTAAAGAAAAAACAGGTAAACAAAAATAAGCCACCACATTGTTTTTGAAGAGAACACATCATTTTTAATAATCTATAAACAAAGGCTTCTACTTGATTTAAAAACTTAATTAATTCAATAAAGAAATGTCAACTTATTTGAGAAAGCTTTCCTGATTAACTTATCTACCCCAAACAGGCTCAAACCCTATTTGTTTATTTTGTTCAATTTGTAAGGCACTCTCTAGTTGAGGAAATGGTTCTCTGTAGTTCTGTAGTTTTATGCCACTATGTTAATATAGGCTGCTCTACTGGTCAAACTGCAGCTACTGAAGGACATTAGCTTCCTTGATTATTTCTGAATCCTCTCCAAAGTGTTACTAGAGTACTCTGAATACAGCAGAGACTCAATGGACACTTATCAAAAGCTTGCTGAATGATTCTCTGGGCCATGTTGCTTTAAACATTTATATCCATGAAGAGTAGACAACTGTGAAAAATGTAAGAATCCTGCATAATGTCAGTGGCTATTATTTTAAAAGCACTTTCTGTAGAAATGGAACGTTCTGTGTATAACGGTAAATTCATGTGAGGCTTTTTAAAAACTTTTTTTTTCTATTTTTTTTAAAATGTTTATTTTTGAGAGACAGAGTGGGCAGGGCAGAGGGAGAGGGGGAGACACAGAATCCAAAGCAGGCTCCAGGCTCTGAGCTGTCAATACAGAGCCCGACGCAGGGCTTGAACTCATAAGCCTTGATATCATGACCCGAGCTGAAGTCAGATGCTTAACTGACTAAGCCACCCAGGCACCCCTTTTTTCTATTTTTTTAAGTGCTTGCTTGCTTATTTATTTATTTATTTATTTATTTATTGAGAGAGAGAGAGAGAGAGAGAGAGAGAGAGAGCGAGCTTGAATGGCAGAGGAAGAGGGAGAGAAAAGTACAGAGCCTGCAGAGCCTGCTGTGGGACTCGATCATACAAACTGTGAGATCATGACCTGAGCTGAAAGCAAGAGTCGGACACTTAACTGACTGAGTCATTCAGGTGCCCCTAAAAACTTCTTATATGGATCCACAAGTTTCACTGCAACTTATAAAAAAAAAATTTTTTAATCTAAATCTAAATCTTATTTTATTCTTATAACAAATGAGGAAGCTATTATTTCTCCTGACAAGAAAACCAAGGACCACAGAGCTCAGGTTCATGTTAAGATAATCTTAAGCTTAAGCCATTATCCTTCTCCAGTTTAGAGATAATAGGCTATACTAAGATGAAATACAGGGGAAAAGTGAGAAGGGGAAAAGAAAAATCTCTTCCTAGCAAAAATAATTCATTAAATGATTTGGCTTTATTCTTTTTTGTTCTCCACAAAAACTGTCTGTAGGCTCCCAAAAAACCAAAATGCTCATCTCAAGAAGAATTTATGCAAACATCATCCCCCAACAAACTGTTAAGTCTACTCATTCTTCAATAAGAAAATATAAAAAGACTTCCTTACAATGAGCAAATGTGTTCACATTTCCACCACAAAAATAAAAGCAAAAAATTGTAGTCCTATTAATACTAAATAACTTAGTATTCTATAAGTAAAACAGTTCTGCTTATTCTCAAAAACTGAGCAAGCTGTTGGGAACATTGCAAGTTCCCATGAAGTTCAGATGCACTGAAATTAATAGTTTCTCTCTCCAGGGAAAGGAGATTTATATGGTTGGGGCTAATCTGTTCCATGCTGTAATTACATTCTAACATGAGAAATGGGGCCACACACCACATAATTATACCTCAATATCCCTCTGGAAATCAAACAGGTCAATTCGCTGCCAGTTACTGCCATCCAGAGCCAGAACATTCCAGGCCTGTTTTGAAGAAAAAGAGACAAAATGAGCAGAAGCTCAAGGGGGGAAATCAACAATAGGCAAGTTCACAATTCAAACTAATGATTGAAATTGACCAAAAAATTTCTCAGCACCCCCCATCCCACGCCCACCACCATTAACTCCCAAAAGGTCTGTCTTATTTCTGATTCATAGTTTACCCAATTAGATTATCTCAAAAATGAGTGGGCATAGAAACTAGCAGCTGGGGTGGGGTGGGAGGTGGGGGGAGCTGGGAAAGGACAGGTTGTGATAAGTATCCTAATCAGAAACTCTTTTTCTAACTGGAAGATTTAGTTTCTAATTTGTGTGGATCATTCCGTATTTTAATGAGAAAGCCTTTAAAAGTTTTCCCTATTAAAGTATAAACAAAAGTCTTAGTATTGTTGAGTTATAAACTTAGCATATCACCTCTTACTGGAACACACTGAAACAGAGTCAATACTGAGCTACAAGAAAGGAAACTGTGCATGACAGGTTCCTTTCTAGAGTCCCCCTTTTTTTTTTTAAGTTTATTTATTTATTTTGACAAAGCAAGTGAGCAGGGGAGGGGCAGAGGGAGGGAGAGAGAGATTCCTAAGCAGGCCTAAACAGGGCTAGATTCCATGATGGGGGGGCGGGGGGCAGGGGAGGGAGAGGGCGACAGAGGATCCAAAGCAGCTTCTGCACTGACAGCAGAGAGCCTGCGGGGCTTGAACTCACGAACCATGAGATCATGACCTAAGCCAAAGTTGGAAGCTTAACTGACTGTGCCACTCAGGCACCCCTAGAATCTTTTTTTAAAAGAACAAATTCATTAACTACTTAAAGTACAGAGAACGGCAGGATAACTACTGATGTGCCAAGTCTCCATTTAATGAAAATTGGTGTTGTGCTTTCCTTTAAGTTAAAACATAATAGGGAAGAGAAACCTACAAATGAAAACAATTAAAATTCATTCAAATCAACATTTGTGACATGAGACCCTGCAACTAAACATGTTTAGATACTGGCCTGGGTATTTTGTTTCTCAATGATGACCTCAGCTTCATACGGAGATATTAAGGAAACCCTATTCATTTGTACCAGCCATGTCTAAAGCAACCACTCAAGTACAGGGGACAAAAAAGTCATGAAGAGAAAACATCAGAATACTGCTGATGGTTTCCAAAGTAGCTGATACACAGATTTAGTAGGTTTTTATGATGCAGAATTACATTAAAGTTAGCAAGACACCGTGAATTTTTGATGGTAAGTTTTATGGGTTATTTTGAGGGAAGTAGTGTTGGTTATTTGAAAACCTGCACACACCTACAAAGATAAAAACCATACTTTATAATAGAACCGTGTTATATATCCAGCACCTAGGACTGTATCTGATACACAGTAGTTTCTCAGTGTTTATTAACCAAAAAAGCAAAAAGCCATTTCCAGCTTATAAAAAAAAGATGACTGCAGGTGTTCATTCATTTTAAGTTAATCATTATATATCTGTATTACAAAAGAGAGTTGAATGGTACATAAAACAAATTTCCCATAACACAACACAGAATCCACTCTATATTAGTAGCAGCCAGTAAGATTATGACGTTTCAGTTTTCTCAAACAATGTCAATTAACAAAAATAGATAATTAAGTGAAATAAAAAACTTAGAGAATGCCCTATAGTTTTTTAATAAATTAATTTCTAGCTATTATCTTTTGATAATATGAGAAAGTGAAAACAATTGATAATTGAAAGTAATATGGGGAAAAAAATGAGAATTAGATTCTCAAGAGCCTCTGTGTGTGGGATGTGTGTGTGTGTGTGTGTGTGTGTGTGTGTATAAAATGAATTAGGAAAACTTAATGAAACACTATTTTGTTATAATTCAGAGGAGAGCCTAACCTTTTGATTTGCATGTATAATACTTTTTTCTTGAAAATGTTTCCTGTTTACATTAAACAAATAGTCAAGAGTTCCAAAAAACTGGGGAGCTTGGGTGGCTCACTTGGTTAAGTGTCTGACTCTTGATTTCAGCTCAGGTCACGATGTCAGAGTTGAGTTCAAGCCCCACACTGAGCTCTACGCTAGCAGAGGGGAGCCTGAGATTTTCTCTCTCTCTCCCTCTCTCTCTGCCCTCCCTCCCGTCTCTCTCAGAAAAACAAAACAAACAAACAAACCAAAAAATTGATAGAGACATATAGTAGAATCTTACTATAGAATTACATAGGTTTGGGAATGCCATGGATGAAATAACATTCTCTGAAACATACAACATCTGAAGTAAATGATCTGCCTACTACAGATCTCCCCCATAATCACATCAATCATTCTTACCCTGGAGACCTGAGCACAGCGACACAAGGTAACAACATCCAGAAAAGAAAATATCCTAAAAAGAGAGGGAGACAATCTTTATTATATGATAAATGAGTTTCTCTTGATTTTTACCTATAAATAACTTGGCTATGTTAATACATGCACGAAAAGAGAGAAGTTCTTTTGAACAAACACAAAAGCTGGAGCAACTTACAACTTAATACTGCCCATATAAAACATTGGGCAATCTTTTACTTGAGAATGTACGTACAAGTACCATACAAGTTCAGTTACTTACATCAAGGGATGATAAAATATTTCTAACTGATATAATTTGTTAAAAGCAAAAAAATAATTTTCACACTTCTGGCTATCCAAAAGAGGGCTAGGGGAGGGATAACTTTATAAAGAATTTTATGGTTATGAGGGAAAAAAGATTAAATAATAGAGTAACTCTTAAAAATTAGTGACTATAAAATGTTAAATCTCTAATTCTAATTTAGGAAATTATAAATCTCATTTACCACATTAATGTCAAAAAACACTGCCTAGAATTTTACTCAGTCTTACAGAGGTTAAATATTTATTTTGAAGCATTGTTATTGGAAATAATTGATTTGCTTAAAGTGTGGTGACTCCCTACACTACACTACACTAGAAGCCACCTGTAAAAACAGGTCAGAGCATCCTGACAATAAATGCAAGGGTCGTGTCTTTTTAAAGCCCTCCTTACTCATGAGCACCTGTAAAGGTCATTTTAATCTGAATAATAAGCTAAACTCTTTTGCAAGTGGCAACAAGTGTAATATAGTATATGCTTTAAAGGTTTAAGTAAATTAAAGTTAATTTTGCTTTAAGAATTTTATAAATTCTCTGGGCACCTGGGGGGCTCTGTCAGCAATATTTCATGCATATCGTAATCTTATATGTAAATCAGTATGTCAGCTATAACACTGGAATCTATTTTATTTTTATTTATTAAATTTGTCTCCAGCGTACTTGAGATGGCTTGGATCAGGAGCAAATAATAATAAATACAAATAAACTATGAGGACCATGAAAAATATTTTTTAAAGTAGAAAACCAAAGCCAGAAAGGAAACAGATGTACCCTTGGAAGAGTTTACATAGTTGCTATAGAGGAGTCTCACATTTAGTTTTAAATTTCTTGGTAGCATAAACAAAATAATATTCTTAACAGGAAAGAAGAAACATATACATTATACCATAAAAATCAGAGCTCTTTCTAGCACTACTTTTTTTTTAAAGAATTTTTTTAAATGTTTATTTGATTTTGTAAGAGACACAAAATGTGAGTGGGGGAGGGGCAGAGAGAGAGGGAGACACAGAATCCGAAGCAGGCTCCAGGCTCTGAGCTGTCAGCACAGAGCCTGATGTGGGGCTCTAACTCACCAACTGTGAATCATGACCTGAGCCAAATTCGGACACTTAATCAACTGAGTCTCCAGGCGCCTCTCTAGCACTACTTTCTAAGAGAAATTTCTCAAAGGAGTCTACTTAGATTTGGTGGATAAAGTCCCAAAGCAAATTCAGTCACAGATTTCATATGGTCACATCTTGTAGCACCTTTATAATAGTTAAAAACAAAATAATAGTATATAAAAATGCACGCTTCTGACAGTCCAGTTGATCCAAGGTTGCTTTTGGCCACAAGTAATAGAAACCCTAACCGAGATGGGCTTAAACCGTAAGGGAGGTTATTTCATACAAAAGGAAATACAAAGAACAGGCTGCCTGCATCTCAAGGTTAATTGATTTAGGGGATCCACAATGTCATCAGCAATTTTCTGTTTATTCTGCTAGGAACAGCATCAGCTTGGTCCTAAAAGCTCTTTTCTTTATAGGCACAGGATGGATGCTAGCAAATACTGGATCAACATGTGTCTTTGTTCACTCTGAGGGGAGAGATAGGCAGGCATTTATACTGCAATAAAGCCTCTTCTCAGGTCTCATTAGCCTAAATTGGCGTAGGCCTTAACCAATCACTGTGACAGGTTTATACTAATTAACTGGGCTGAAGTGGATGCTAGAAAGTCAATTACAGTGCCCACCACAGACAGAATATAGCATACTTAAAGGAATCATGAATGTCCTTCAGACAATCTTCTATAAATATCACTTCTCTTAAGTTTTCGTAAGATTAGCACAAGGATTATATTTCTTATAAGGTCCTACAACTGAAATATCCTTAGTTGTGGATTGATGATTGATCCCTGTACTTCAAATCAGTGAACAAGTATATCTGTCATCCTTTGATGGAAAATAAAAGGCCTAACCATGACTTCATCCCAATAAAGCACCACCCTAACTTTTGCACTGAGTTTTATTTCCTCAAGACAAAATTATAAGTTATTTACAGCATGTCAACAAATGGTTAATGAATTGTTCAAAATTCTATACCACAGAGCATAGCTAAGATGACTTTTGTTTGGAAAATGTTCATAGAAGGTGATATGGCCAGTTGCTCAACATAGTAAAAAAAAAAAAAAAAAAAATCAGTCTCATTAACATTCCTATAGAGCTTTTCATTTAGAGAGACAGAACTTCCCTGGTCAACTTAGTCTAGCTAATAATTAAGCAGCTGATTACTTGTACACCTGAGGAACTCAATGGTTTAGTGTGCTACATGGGATTTCCAGATATGAATAGATTAGGTTTGTGTGATTTCTAATCAGTATAATCTTGGTTAGGTAACTGTAAGTAGTTGGATAAAAGACCAGTTGTCTGATGTGTCCTCTCCAGATCTGTAACAATAAAATCATTTCAAAAACACATGAGATACTTGTTTTTCTATTCTTTACGGCCAGGGGTATGCATCTGGCTTATTTAAGAGCAGTTTTGCATTGAGATTCAAGTTAAAAAGGAGACAAAAAGCACAGCCCTAATTTCAGACGCTGAAGATGATCTGATCTTGTGGAGGTTGTGTCTGCCAACTCTGACCCAGTTATTAATGTGGAACGTATGGTCTTTATGTTCACATTAATAACCAAATATGTATAGAGAGCTCTTATAGTTTAATCCGTAACAGAATCTAAACCAAAGAGTCAAAGCTCTTGTCCATGATAGCTACAGGTAACATACATTGCTTTTAGCAGAATTCTTCACAAGATCATGAATAACCAAACTGTCATAATTATACCTAAAGTCCTCTCACTTACAACAGGGGTAAAACCTGCATCTAGTAAACCTACATCTGTAGTTTGACAATAAAAGACACTAGCATACAGCTTTAATGAACCGTTCCTGCAAACTGGTGGTCTCTTGTGAGGAATAAGAAGTTTGCAATTTTGAAAATGTGGTGTAGTTTCCACCAGACAGTAGACAAGTATCAGAACTTTAAATTCGGAGCAGGCCTTAACACATCATGTAGCCAAAGATCTGCATCTAGTCTCTTAAAAAAAAACTTTTTTTTTTTTAAGTTTATTTATTTTGAGACAGGGGGAGAGAAAGAGAGAGAGAGCGAGCCAGGGAGGGGGGGAGACAGAGGATATGAAGCGGGCTCTGCATGGACAGCAGAGAGCCTGGTTGTGGGGCTCGAACTCATGAACCGTGAGATCATGACCTGAGCCGAAGGCAGACACTTAACCCACTGAGCCACCCAGGTGCCTCTAAAATTTTTTTATTTTTTTAAAGGTTTTATTTATTTTTGACAGGGAGAGAGACAGAGCACAAGTTGGGGAGGGTCAGAGAGAGAGGGAGACACAGAATTGGAAACAGGCTCCAGGCTCTGAACTGTCAGAACAGAGCCCAACGCGGGGCTCAAACTCACGAACTGTGTGATCATGACCTGAGCCGAAGTCAGATGCTTTACCAACTGAGCCATCCAGGTGCCCCCAAAACCTTTTGGAACAAGGGGAGCCTGGGTGGCTCAGATGATTGACTGAGCGACTCTTGATATCATCTCAGGTCATGATCTCACAGTCCAGGACTATAGAGGCCTGTGTAGGGCTCTGAGCTGACAGCACAGAGCCTGCTTAGGATTCTCTCTCCCTCTCTCTCAAAATAAATGATAAACTCAAAAAAAACAAAAACAAAACAAAACAAACACTTAGAAAAATACAGGGGCGCCTGGGTGGCTCAGTCGGTTTAAGCCTCCGACTTCGGCTCAGGTCATGATCTCACGGTCCATGAGTTTGAGCCCGCGTCGGGCTCTGTGCTGACGGCTCAGAGTCTGGAGCCTGTTTCGGATTCTGTGTCTCCCTCTCTCTCTGACCCTCCCATGTTCATGCTCTGTCTCTCTCTGTCTCAAAAATAAATAAACGTTAAAAAAAAAAAGGAAAGAAAAATACAAAGTGGTAAACAAATGGCTTTTTTATCCCTGCTCTCTCAATACCCCCTGCCAAAAGCCTATTCTTCCCTCCAAAGGTAGCAGATGTATCTACTTATATCTAGATATATAATATGTACAGTACTTAGCACGTCTTCATGTATGCGTATTTTATATTTTTCAAAGATGAAAACATGATATAAATATGCTCCCACAACTTGTTTTTGTTTCCATCATTTAATAATTTGACATCTTGGGGCACCTGGGTGGCTCAGTCATTTGACCATCTGACTCTGGATTTCGGCTCATGTCATGATCTCACAGTTCATGGGTTCAAACCCCATGTCGGGCTCTGTGCTGACAGCTTGGAGCTTCCTTGGGATTCTCTCTCTCTGCCTCTCACCTGCTTGCACTCATGCGCACACTCTGTCTCTCTCAAGATAAATAAACTTAAAAAAATACATAATCATTGACATCTTTTTAGGTCAGCTCATGTAGCTCTACCTCATTCTTTATTTAAAGTTTTAGTGTTTATTTATTTTTGAAGAGCAGAGAGACAAAGCGTGAGCGGGGTGGGGCAGAGAGAGGGAGACACAGAATCCAAAGCAGACTCCAGGCTCTGAGCTGTCAGCATAGCACAGTTCAGGGCTCGAACTCATGAGTGGTAAGATCATGACCTGAGCTAAAGTCGGAAGTTTAATTGACTGTGCCACCCAGGCGTCCTCTTTACCTTATTCTTTTAAAAGGCAGCTAAGTACAATAAATAGTCCAATGACTGACTGAATATACCATAATTTATTTAAGCATTTTTACTTATGTATATTAAAACTGTTTCTAACTGTTCATAATTTCAAATAACGCTGCCATGAAAATTCTGCAAACCATTTTTACTCATATGTTTGCTTCTACAATATGTATGTGTAGATACAATATGTGTATCTCTTAAAGTACACTGTCAAATTACTCTCCAAAAAAGTTGTACCTATGGACATACCCGTTGTATGACTTGAATTATCCAGTTATACCCTCTCCAGGACCACTCTGTGTTTTTTAACTTTTTTAATAAGAATTATGTTAAGAGGTGCTGTTCAAGAAGGTTTGGGATATTTGTCATAAGACTGAAGCCAAAGGAAGTTAGGAATAAATCCTTTTTACAGAACCATACTATAGGTAACCATATCCCAAAATCTACTTTCAGTATTGATTTTATCAATCAGTCCCATGTTCTCTACCAGGGATTTAGTATTAAGGACTTGGGCTTTCTTTTTTTGTACCATAATGAGTTTTATGTATAATTAGACCCTATCTTCTTCCACATGATGTCTCAGTTGTCTTTTTGTCTCTCGGTATTCTTTATCAGGAGTGGGGAAGGTGAGGTCTACTTTGTTTAAACCTGGGCAGCCTTGGGGAGCCTGGGTGGCTCAGTCAGTTGAGCATCTGACTTTGGCTCAGGTCATGATCTTACAGTTGGTGAGTTTGAGCCCCACGTCGGGCTCTGGGCTGACAGCTCAGAGCCTGGAGCCTGCTTCAGATTCTGTGTGTGTGTCTCTCTCTCTGCTCCTCCTCCACTCATGCTGTCTCTGTCTCTCAAAAATAAAAGTTAAAAAAGTTTTTTTTTAATCTGGGTAGCCTAAAGCCAGGCCAGTTTTTCAACAGTCTATTGAGAAGAAATGGGGAAAGACTTTAATTGAAGCAATCAAGAAGATCCTTAGACAACAGCAGACCCTTCATTCCATCTCAGTCTTCCTATCTCTTTGATCTTAACCATTCTAGCTATCAGGGCATCTGGCTGGCCCAGTCTGTACAGCACACAACTCTTGATCTCAGGGTTGTGAGTTCAAGCCCCACACTAGGCGTGGAGCCTACTTAAAAAAAAAGAGTACAACACAGTGATTTGTATACATTATGAAATGCTCACCACATAAATGTTGTTATCATGCGTCACTTAACCATTCTGGTTACAGACATGGGTATTTCAGAATGAGTTATGTAAAGCATTAAAGTGTAGAGAAAAGGACCACTGTCAACATGATCTTAGGTACTTAGCCTGAAGATGATGAAAAACAGGAAGGTGCTAAGTATAATGTAGTTTATTATTCTGGCTTATTATAGAGATAACAATTTAATTTCCTCTTGATTTATGCTATAGATCTATATTTATAACTCCACTGGGTTTTTTTTCAAGTTATTTATTTTGAGAGGGGGGAGACGATGAGAGTGAGAGAGGGGCAGAGAGAGGAAACAGAATCCCGAGCAGGCTCTGCATTGTCAATGCGGAGTCAGACACAGAGTTCAAACCTTGAACCCATCAACCATGAGCTCATGACTTGAGCTCAAAGCAAGAGTTGGACGCCCAACTGACTGAGCTACCCAGGCTCCCTGATGTTTTAATTTAAGTTAATGTTATGATATTTGGACAAGTAAATGCTTATTGTGAGCTCACCCCCCAACAAAAAAACACTGCTCTCACTAAAACCTGGGTTTAAAACATTGGGTTTCTAAAGATAATTATCTTCATTGTCAAGTACGTAGAATAAATAGAAATCAAAATTTACAAAATAATAGTAGATATTTGGATGGACTACATATGGAGTGGAAGAAGAGATTTAAGCCCTGACATACATCACATTCATCTTACTAGGGAGCCAAATCAGGACTGGAAAGACCAAGCTCTTATATTTGTCTTCTCTCTTTTCTTTCTTTTTAATGTACTGTAATGTTAAAATCCAGGTGAAAAGCTAACTCATTTGGGATCTTGATATTCAGAACCCCAGTCAGTACATTCTAACAATGGAATTAGGACTGTTGAGACACATGCTTCAGAATCTCCTAGGTCTGCATTTGGCCTCCAGCCATGTCTGTCTATAGTGTTTTCTTTTGTGGAGAAAAGGTTACTAAAGTCTAACTAGGATCATTACCTATAAAGTTTCTCACCTATGCCTCCCTAGGCGTAATATTATATTTATACAAATTGCTCAGGGATTAGTGATGTGTTTGCAGAAACATGATCTTTCAATTATGAAACTCCACATAAAGGTACTATACAGTAGATGATAGGAAAAAGCAGGGGCATTTTAGCAATTCAAAAATGTTTGTTGCATTAAATAAACTTATTGTTTCAGGAATTGAGGTACATAAGTTGGGGGTGTCTATATTTATTTGGGAGTGGTTAGTAATCTGTACTGAAGAAGATGGGACATTTATATCCACAGTGTTGTGCAGCCATAATCACTAATTTCAGAACATTTCATCATTCCCAAAAGAAACCCTGTGCCCACTAGCAGTCACTCCCCATCATCCCTCACCACAGACCCTGGCAACTTCTAACTCCATGGATCTGTCTATCCTAGGTATTTCATATAAGTGGAATTATACAGTATGTGGCCTTTATGTCTGTCTTCCATGGAGAAAAACTCCAACAAAAAAAACGTAAACCATAAGACGGTGCAGCTAATTACCAAAGGATTAATTTCCCTGAATCTTAGTAAGTCTTTAAGTAAACTACTATAGTACAATGTAATGCCAGTATTTAAAACATTGAAGTATGTCTTAGTGTACTCAGTTCATAATAACAGTAAAGAATATAACCCATTTAGGGGCACCTGGGTGGCTCAGTTGGTTAAGCGGCCAACTTTGGCTCAGGTCAGGATCTTACGGTTTGTGAGTTCAGGCCCCGTGTTGGGCTCTGTGCTGACAGCTCAGAGCCTGGAGCCTGCTTCTGATTCTGTGCCTCCCTCTTTTTCTGCCCACTCCCCAACTCTGTCTCTCAAAACTGAATAAACGCTTAAAAAAATTTTTTTTAAAAAAGAATATAACCCATTTAAAAATATTTTTCTTTAAGATGGTGCCATTATAATTTTGCTAAAATTTGAGGGATACTCAAGATATCTAGGATACATCTCCAACAGTTCTGAGTAGCTTAGCACGTATTGCTATTATTTCAACTATAGTCAACCTGCATGTATGAATGCATTGCTTCCATGGAAAAATCCATTCCAAGTTCAATTCAGTTAGTTTTTCTTAGTATCTCCATTGTATAAAGTATTACATAAAGATTTAGAATACAGTCCCCGCTTGCAAAGTAGTGAAGGAGTCAGACGTGCAAATCCTTAGAAATGCCAGGAATACTTTTCTTTATCAGCAACAGGGCAAGATTATTTTCCATCGTGAGCATGGATTGGGCTGGTTATGAGCTAGACTGTGGCAGCAGCTCAGACCAAGAAATGGATGTTCCAGTACAACTTGTTAACTTCCAACATTTGCAAAAGGGAATGTACCTTTCTTTCTTTTTAAAAAATTTTTTAAAATTTATTCTTGAAGGGGAGAGAGAGAGAGAGAATGAGTGGGGGAGGAACAGAGAGAGAGAGAGAGAGACAGAGACAGAGTTTGAAGCAGGCTCCAGGCTCTAAGCTGTCAGCACAGAGCCCGATGTGGGGCTCGAACTCACAAACTGTGAGATCATGACCTGAGCCAAAGTCAGACGCTTAACAGACTGAGCCACCCAGCCACCCCTAAAATGTACCTTTCTTTCTAAGTCACGATATTCAACATAAGTGAACAAAGAATGGGATGATTAAGTACCCAAATAATGGGCACTGAAAACAACTCCCCTAGTTTTTTCCTAGGTGATTCCTAGGTCAGATGCATGTAAATTAGGGGTTTTGTGTTTTATGTTGTGGGTGATCCCAAATGTAATTTCTTGAGAACTAACTAAAAATAAGGAGGGTAAAATTATAACTGTAATAGAAGGAAAGAGTTTAAAATCACTTTTACCTTTTTATCTTTAAAATAAAGGTCTGTAACTCTTCTTTACAGTACCTCAATATATGTAATATTTTGTTGCAAATACAAGTTACTTCATGGTCATATTTGACTTTAGGAATAAGAAGTGGGGGCAAGGGATGGATCAGAATTACTTCAAAGAATCAGCACTGGGGTACCTGGGTGGCTCAGTAGGTTAAGTGTCCGACTTTGGCTCAGGTCACCTCATGGTTGGTGGGTTCCAGCCCTGCTTCGGGCTCTGTGCTGACAGCTGGGAGCCTGGAGCCTGCTTTGGATTCTGTGTCTCCCTCTCTCTGCTCACCCCCCTGCCCCCCGCTCCCCGCTCATGCTCTGTCTCTCTCTCAAAAATAAACAAACATTTAAAAAAGATGAGCACTATAATAAAATAAAATGTATTATCTCCTTCATATTCTATCTAAGAATAGGGCAAAAGAAAACAAGTAAACAAAATCATATATAAGTACAAATCAGGAAAGAACTGTTACTAAACATTTAAAATTTTGATTCATATCTAGAAAACAGAGTTAAGATTAACAAAACAACCAACAAATTTACAAATTCAGATAATCCAGATCCTATACATACATGGAAATTATCAACAAGTCTAAACATTTTTAAATAGACCATATGACACACACACAACCAAACTAAAATCAGCATTCAGACTTACCGTAATAGGAGTTCTTTGGGAAGTTTTTTATTGATTACAGCTTCATCACTATTTGAGAACATCTGCAAAAACAAAATCAGTTAGTGTTACTTAACATTTTATTATGTTCAACTCAAAGTTTAGAGGCAATCCTCTAAAGGGAGGGGTGGGTAAGTATAGTGGGTATAATAAGCTAAAGTCATATTTTCAGAGACTCTTTAGCCTGAAAAACATCTGAGACATTTAATTTGTTCCTTGTCTGTAGAAAAAATTACTAACAATCAGAGGGATGACATTATGTGGCAGTTATTATTTTAAGTGTTTTTCATGTATTAATGTACTGAATCTTCATATTATCCTTAATCTTCATTTTCCACACAAGGAAACCAAATTGCAAAAGGTCTCGTTGCTTAAAATCACATTACTGTACAGTGACCATTTAAAAGTGCCATTAGGGGCGCCTGGGTGGCTCAGTCGGTTAAGCGTCCGACTTCAGCTCAGGTCACTATCTCGCGGTCCGTGAGTTCGAGCCCCACATCGGGCTCGGGCTCTGGGCTGATGGCTTGGAGCCTGGAGCCTGCTTCGGATTCTGTGTCTCCCTCTCTCTCTGCCCCTCCCTCGTTCATGCTCTGTCTCTCTCTGTCTCAAAAATAAATAAACGTTAAAAAAATAAAAATAAATAAAAAAATAAAAGTGCCATTAAGAAGAGTGCCTGGGTAGCTCAGTCAGTTGGGTGTCCAACTTCGGCTCAGGTCATGATCTCGCAGTCTGTGGAGTTCGAACCCCGTGTCAGGCTCTGTGCTGACAGCTCAGAACCTGGAGTCTGCTTCGGATTCTGTGTTTCCCTCTCTCTCTGCCACTCCCCGGTTCAGACTCTGTCTCTCAGTCTCAAAAATAAGTTAAAAAAAACAACAACAACAAAAAAAACAACAAACCATTAAAAAATAAAATAAAATAAAAATGCCTTGCTACCAATCCAAAGTTTAATTTCCTTTTGTTTCTCTTCTCTACAGGATTGTTTCAAATTTCTAGCTTGATATACAAGTCTCCTTCATGACCAAACCCCACTATCCATGTAACAGTTCATTCATTAGATTTATTGAGTTCCTACCATGTATCGGGCTCTGTGCTGATAAGGTAATTCTCCAAATCTAAGTCACATTTACTTGTTTAAGCAGATGATCAGAAACTGGGATAGGGAACATTCTCTCCTGAGTTTTATGTAACATGCAGAAAACCGGTAATGCTTCATAACCACATGCAATTTTGATGCACACAACTGATCATTTAACAAATTAATCAAATAACCCACAATGGATACTTTTTAAAAAATGTTTTATTTATTTATTTATTTATTTATTTATTTATTTATTTATTTTTAATTTTTTTTTTCAACGTTTATTTATTTTTGGGACAGAGAGAGACAGAGCATGAACGGGGGAGGGGCAGAGAGAGAGGGAGACACAGAATCGGAAACAGGCTCCAGGCTCTGAGCCATCAGCCCAGAGCCTGACGCGGGGCTCGAACTCACGGACCGCGAGATCGTGACCTGGCTGAAGTCGGACGCTTAACCGACTGCGCCACCCAGGCGCCCCTGTTTTATTTATTTTTGAAAGAGAGAGAGAGAGAGCAAGCGAGGAAGGGGCAAAGAGAGGGAGACAGAAGAGCCAAAGCAGTGAGCCAGATGCAGGGCTCGAACTCACGAACTGCAAGATCACGACCTGAACCAAAGTCAGATGCTCAACCAATTGAGCTATCCAGGCGCCGTCCACAATGGGTACTTTTAAACAGAGCCACCATTTCTTCCACAAAGGAGATCAAGACTGTAAGCTTGTGCAGTAAGCCACATAAAAAAACCAAACACCTATACTCAATAAAAAGCAGAGTAAAAACAGCAAACACATGTCACTGAGGCTGAAATATGTACAGTCCCTGCTATTAAGTATTACACAGATGTCTCCTGACTTCAGGCAATGAACATCTACTGAACACCCTGTCAAATCAGGCACTTTTCAGGGCAACAAGATCCAAGGAAAAGGAGACGTTATCCCTGTAATTCAGGAGTTCTGGCTCTACAACGAACACAGAAATAAGTGAATACTTTATTAATTATTAGAGATAAATGACAAGAGGTATCTGAGAGCAAGGGAAAAAAAAACTAATTCTGCCCACAGAGGACATCTAAACTGGGTCTTAAAGGAAGGCCAGAAGTTAATTAGGAAAAAGGGGGAGATAAGATGTATGAAAGCATGAAGGCCTTAGCATTTCATGATTCAAAGTAGAAAAAGTAACAGAAGGGAAGTAAAGAGGTAGGGTAAAGTATTGGCAAGAATCCCAGACATCCAGAGTAATTACAATAAATATTTTCTGGTAACTCTAACAACCTATCTTCTAGCTAAATAAATGGAAAGTTCCATGAGGGTAGGGGCCATGGCTTTCACATTTGCTCATGATATTTCCAGGATTGAGCACAGAGCCTGATACATGGTAGGAACTCAATAAATTTAATGAATGAACTGTTACGTGGATAGTGGGGTTTGGTCATGAAGGAAACTTGTATATCAAGCTAGAAATTTGAAACAATCCTGTAGAGAAGAGAAACGTAAGGAAATTAAACTTTGGATTGATAGCAAGGACATAAACTAATAATATATTGAAATTATAGTTCAAATAAAAGATGGTGAAGGTGTCTGTGAGATTACAGGGCTGGTGGAAATTAAAAAAAAAAGACACTGGAGAAAAGAAGGATTTTTGAAGAAGCAAAAAGACTTGGTGATGGAAAGTTGGACTATCAAGTTTCAGTGTAACAGATAATCTTATAATAAGAGCAATGCTATTAACTGACAATAACATGTTTTAGGAAATTATCTGACATCAAAGAATAATCTACTTCCTCATAATTTCTACCCATTAGTGGAAGCTATTAAAAAATCATCTTTCTTCTATAAGGCAATCTTTCAAATGAAGCCATCATATTCCCTCCTCAACAAGTTTAAGTTCTTCTCAAATGATATAACTTCTAAAACGCTATGTCATTATGATCATTCCTCTCTGGGTACTTTCATAGAGAAGAATGCATGAAGGAGTTATAATGCATTTAAAAACTGGAATAATCAAGGGTTGATGACATAAATAACAATGTCGTGCAAAGAAAGCTAAAGTATAAATGGAGACCTGGGAGCCTTTTCAGAGTAAGCACACAACATATATCTTAAGCTTAAGATCTTTGGGGAAAAAAAGCTTTTAAGTACAAAACAGACTCACTAAACACCCAATCTACTACACTCTGCCCAACTCAAATCCACAAAAAGACAAACATTTATATATTAAAAATGCTAAACTCTTTATCTTGTGTACTCTAAGTGTTTATTAAATGCTACATATCTCACTTAGTAAAGCATTTTGCTCTCTTGAATATACACAATAAAATTGACTAAAAAAACCCCATATACCTGCCATATGTTATTCACAGGACTTCTAGAACTCTAGATATAAAAAGGAACAAAAATCACACCCAGCAGTAATTTCTTTCCTTGCATCAGTCTATACAGACTGAATGGTGTTGTCTCTGTGGGAGCATGAAGGTAAGCAAAGGGAAAAAAGAATACAGTGTCCTGGGAGGATTTGGGAAACACCAGGCTTAGAGGATATCTGTCCAGATTTACATATTCCTCCTCTTCCTTCTGTACATATATATTCTACCTCAAGTTTGCAAGAAAGGATAAAATCAGTGGTTCACAACCTGTGGTCATCTGACCAGTAGCATCAACATCAACTGGGACTTTGTTAGAAAGGTAAATTCTTGCACTTTACCCCAGACCTATAGTAACAGAAATGGGGTGAAGAGGAGGTGGAGAAAAATAAGGGGAAGCTGTATTTTTTATTATAATTTTTTAAGTTTATTTATTTTGAGAGAGAGAGAGAGCATGAACAGGGGAGGGGCAGAGAGAGGGAGAGAGGATCCCATGCATGCTCCAGGCTCAGAGCTGTCAGCACAAACTCATGAACCGTGAGATCATGACCTGAGCATAAACCAAGAGTTAGAGGCTTAACTGACTGAGCCACCCAGCCGCCCCAGGGCAATTCATATTTTAGAAGCCCTTCAGGTGACACCAATGCTTCCTAAAGTATGAGAACCAATGGACCAGATGAAGCAGATTGCTGATCTCAGGACTTAAGAAGTTACAGCTCTATAAGATCTATATAACACAATCAGAATATTTTATTATTTGAAGTGACACAGCAGGAGCTTAAAAAATAATCCTAGAGGTAAACATAATAATTTTAGATGTTTTCTAGGAAACCCAAATGCCTTTTCCTCCAGTTCATGGCACTGCTGGTAAAATGTTTCATACAAATGACAGAATATATGTTTTAGATATTTTACTATTAGCTGAATCTAAACTTAAGGTTTCTCATGTAAAATATAAAGGTTGTCAAAACAAGTTAGATCCAGGGCATATAATGAATTACAACAAATTTGTGAAGAATTTTAGATATAATTGTTGTAGGGGAAGTGACTGATCAAATGTTTGACACTCTTAGGTAATCTGGTTTTTAACATGGGAATATAGCATTATGTATTTTTAACAAGGGAATGTAACATTATGGATTTTTCTAATCTATCCACAAACAATTACAAGGATGTGGTCATGGGGAAAACATGAAAGCAACTAGTTTGTTCTCTATTAATTGTTTTAAGGTAGAACATCATCCCCTGAACAGACAGTGCAAAAGCATTTATCTAGACATAGGACATTCTTAAATATTCAGGTTTTAAAAAATCTAAGTGACATGGTTTGTCATACACTGGCATTTATTGTTGCTGTGTATGAAGCTATAATTGTTTTTTTATAAATTATATAGTTGAGAAATATAATGGCAGATAGGTTTAACAAACAGTAAAGAAACTACTTGCTCAACAGTGACCCCTGCTGACTAAATTAGAGTATGGTTACCATCTCCAAAAAAGGAAATCTAAAAGATCTGATTCAGCTTTATAGAAAAAATACAAAATTTAATGACTATTTTGGTAGAGAATATTAGTTATCCATTCTCTTCTTCTAGAGTAACAGAATTCCCA